GGCGACGCCCGCTCGGACCGGCCGTAAAACGTCCCCCTGCCTCGGTGGCTTTTGTGCCACACTCAACATGGCCGCCGTGGCTCGTCCGCGCCAGGCGCACGGAAGGCGGAACATAGAACTCCGACGGTTGTCATTCGCCAGGAGGCCCGAGCGAACACAATGTTGACGCTTTGCGGCGGGTCATTGGACGCCGCCGCTGCCATTCGTGATTAAAAGTGCGGGGGGAAAACCGGGACGCCCGGATCGGATCCTCTCAACGGAACGGAGTCGCTTTGCTGGAAAGTGCTCGCGGCTGCCGGTTGGTCGCGATCGCCCTTGTGAATGTTGCATTTTACACGCGGGTGACTTAAAAAACGCGGCGCTGAGTTCAGAAGTTTGCATTGCAGAGCCGCGTGGCTTATTGGCGGTCTGTCTCCTGCTACCTTTCTTTGAAAAGCGTCCGGGTAGGACTTTTGCAGAGTTTCTGATTTTGCAAAAAAGATTGCAAAAGTTCCACGTGTGAAGTCTAGCACGATCGTGGGCATTCCTGATTTATTTCTGTGTTTTGATTTTATGCAGGTTTAATCTTTCCCTGCAGCCTGGAGCTTGCGAGCCGTTAAAATTGGAAGGGACCCTCGAGGCCATCGATCCTATCCCTTTATTGGTGCAGACATCTAAACGGAAGTAGCCCCACGAAGCCTCTCATTAGTTCTGCCCGCACCCCACAACCTGGGTTATGTGATGTTGCGCATTGTACTGTCCCACCAACTTGGGTTTGTGCAAAACCCCAAACCAGAAACCTGTAACCAAGATGATTTCAATGCACTTTTAACACACGTGTTCATCTGCTGAGATTCTCTTGCCAGTAACAGCACAGCAAACTAATCAAGGCTTAAACCAGGTGGAGGAATTTGGGGTTGAGCATGGTCATGGGAAGTTAAGCCATTATCTCAGGCTAAGGTGTTGTGTTGCAAAAAAAATCATCAGGGTCCAGTCCAAGCCAGGTATAAACAAAATGGAGACTGCTTTAGAAAGAAGGTTGCAGTTTATTGAGCAGAACCAGACAGAAAGATGGCTCTGGGAAAAACTGACTACGTGTAGCTGGGAGTGGTGGGTTTTTATACCTTCTTGGGCTTTTGTTTGGAGTTGTTCCTGGGACATGAACTTTGACCTGAGTCTGAGTGGGCCTTTCTGGAATTCTGATGGTGGTGGGTTAATCCTATTATGTCCCAAAAGTCATATCCTGCTTCCTTGGGGCTGTGGCTGGTGGCTTACTTCCCGTGTTGGATTTCTTGAGTGAGGGGTTGTTGATTCTATGGATTTTTGTCTTTCTAATCCCATCAGCTCCAAGCTTCCTGTCTCCAATCTTTCCGAAAGGATTATCACATTTGCATTGCTTGGGGCAGACAGACTTAAGATTTTCCATTATGCCTTTGGGGAAATATAATATTCTGCCTTTTTAATATTCCCCATAATATTTCTTTCTGGGGGGGCTGACTTCCCATAGTGGGAACCAGGTTGTTGTGTTAAAACTTTAATGCCACTTATTATTTGGACATCTCATGTTGCTTGAGCATAATGTGCGGGAGAGTCCCCAAAAAAGTCACAATCAAGGGATTGACGTCCCACCTGTTCGCTGGGATGCACAAAAAGAAGGGATGGGACTTTGATTACATGGCTGCCATCTTGATTTTTTTGACCCCCTAAGGCCTTTTGTTCCCTCCACTGGGCCAGCCGTGAGACAATGGTCCAAAAAGTCCGAATGGCAGGTGCAAAGAGGGAACCTTCACAGTTGTGTGAAGATGTTCCCTTTTTCCATACAGATGACCATCCTATTTTTACGCATGCGTGTAACACCCCACTCCTGAAGGTGTGCATTGTGTTGCTAGTTTAGTCCTTACAAAAGGACAGTAAAGAAAGAGTCGCAATGTTTCTCAACCTTGGCAACTTTATGAGGTGTGGACTTCAATTCCCAGAATTCCTCAGCCAGCATGGCTGGCTAGGGAATTCTGGGAGTTGAAGTCCACGAGTCTTAAAAGTCCACAGGTCTTAAACTTGCCAAGGGGAATTCTGGGAGTTGAAGTCCACAAGTCTTAAAAGTCCACAGGTCTTAAAGTTGCCAAGGGGAATTCTGGGAGTTGAAGTCCACACCTCATAAAATTGTTAAGATTGAGAAACATTAATTCAAACTAAAAGGTACTATCTGAATCCAGAAATTGGATAAATCCAGTAACTAAATTAGGTAAATTGTGCCAAAAAAATGGGGACATCTCCTTCCTTCTCAAGATCACGGTCTTTTTAGGATAAATAAATCTCGGGCCTTTGCAACTACATATAGCTCAGGTAGCCAATTTTTCAAGCAGCTGCTTTATAGCTGTACACATTAACTGTACCGTTTGTATTTATTTCCAGATTTTTAAAATCCCCCCCCCTCTTATTCCTGCAAACGTTAATAGCATATTTTGAGCAGCTGGTTGAAAACTTGGCAAAACTTTTGGGCACACGCCGAGGAGAGCCAATAAATTTGAATGTATTTCTCTGAAAGGATAGGGGCTAGGTTGAGATCTTAGCAGTAGGATTGCAAATTGACTAATGTTAGGAACCCTAAAGCGATGGCAATGATGGGTTTTGCTTATGCTAAAAGACAAAAGCCAGGGGCTACATTCACACAACACCCCTAACTGAGGCCTGGCAGAGGCGTTTCCCAAATGTAAGTTCACTTAGGGTCAAACTTTTTTTTTTTTTAAAGCTGTCTTCTTTTTTCAGCCAGGCAGATGTGTAAGTGGTTTGGCCTCCAGACACGAATTTGTAAGGACAGACCTGGGTGTTTTTAGTTCATGTGAAAAGCAGTGGGGCATTAAAGAGAAGGCAGATGTTGGGGTGGTTTTCTCCTATTTTTCTCTGGTTTTCCATAACGCTCCCCTCACCCACCTGGCATCTTCCAGATGTGCTGGAGGCGCATCTCCCCCATGCCCAGTTAGTTGCCACACATCTGGACTGCCTCGATTTGCGGATAGCAGAAAAATCTCCAATCTGAATTTGTTAATCCTTCATCCTCCTTAACCTTTTTGTTCACGTAAAACCTGGCTTAGAGGATGAGGCAAGTTTTCCTTGGCATCACACCTGACATTAACCCAGATTGAAATCTGGCTTATCCCTTTGGCATTGCTTGCCAAAAGCCAACTGGAAAATTCACAAATTACAGTCAAGTGATCCCAGGATACTGCAACCTTGGAAAATATATGCCGGATTGCCAAGTGCCCACATTTTGATCACGTGACCAGGAGGAAGGATGCTGCGACGTGAGGACGGCTCATAAGTCCCTTTTGAATTGTCGCTAAATGAACAGAGCACTTCCTGCCTGTCAAAATTTAATTGCAAAAATAAAGGAGAGGAAGGAATAACGGAATATATATATATATATGACAGAGGATGTCTGTTAACAGATAGTCTGTTTTGCATGTTCAGGCTGATATCAGTCTGGAAAAAGCTGACATTTTTTGAAAACCCCAAGACGGTTAACTATTCATATCCCCAGTTTTTAAAAATGTTATTATTATTATTTTGTGTGGGCAATCTATGGTTAGGTTCACAGTCAGAGACTGGTGGAAACTTAATACGGGTAGTCCTCGATTTACAACAGTTCATTTAGTGACCATTCGAAGTTATAACGGCACTGAAAAAAATGATCTGACTGTTTTTCACACTTATGACCATTGCAGCAACCCCATAGCCATGTGATCAATTCATTCTAAATCCTAATCAAGGACTTAAAAAGTATTAAGGTAGCGCTAAGGATATAGATTGTTCCAAGCAAGGTAGGATTTTGTAAAATTAGGGTCTTCGACTTTGATAAATTCAGTATTTTCAAATATCAAGGAAGTCTCTTCAATATTGCCCCAAGGGTTCCAATCACAATTGGTGTAACAACAGATTTATTTATTTTTTTATAAACGTTCAGCTTCAATCTGCAAGTCCCAATATTTCAGATATTTTTCCCCCAATTCTTTTCCCTCAGTTCTAGCATCACCAGGAATAGAAAC